TCATATGGACACCTTTAAGTCTAGTTTCTAAATCTTCAAACAGTTTGTGATTTGGATTTGTATAACTCAAGATATGATCACATTAATGAGTAAAGTGCAAAATATGAGACAACCACCGAGCCTTTGACAGAATTGATCCCCTTATGGAAGGGATCGATCAGGTCATTTTTTTAAGCATGAAATGGCATAAAACTTGAACCAATCGATCCCCTCAAGGAAGGGATCGATTGGGTTTGGGCAGAATCACACCAACGGTTATTTTTCATGCTTTCAGCAGCTATTTTCTTCTCCCAAGCATCCTCAATGGCTACTCCTTCAATTTCTCTATAAATTGAGCATTCCAACACACCAAGAAGATAGATTCATCAAGAGAGCAAGAGCCAACAAGCCATATTTTCATTATCTCAAATAATCAAGAGTTTTTAGAGCTTCAAAGTCTATATATTTGTATTTATTGCATCTAAATTATATTTGTTGTTCATTCATCATTTTCTTGTACTTAAACTTAGCAAGCATTTAGCCTTAGAGAGGTTGTTCTATTATTTGCAAAATTACCTTTGACATACAAGGGTGGAAGAGAATAAAAGGTGAGGTATCCTCTTGAAAGCTTTGTAGTGAGATTGAAAAAAATACTACAAAGGGTAGAGGTTTCTATCTTAAGCCTTAAAAAGAAAAAGATATGTTGTATTTTCATTTCAAGAATAGTGGATTGAAGCCTTGGTGTGGACAACTAAGAAGAGATGACGTAGGTGCCTTGTGGAGAAGGACCGAACCTCTATAAATCATTATGTTTGATTTATTTATCTCTATCTCCTTACAATTATTGTTGTTTATATTTGATTTTAGGTTCATTAATTGTTATTGTTTGCATTATATTTCCATCAAAAGTGCTTATTGTTTTAATTTCCATTCAATTATATTGAAGTCATTGTTTGGGAAGAATTTGGAGAAATCCAATTCACCCCTCTCTTGGATTACCATCTCACCTAAAAAGCTAACATGGAACATGTTTTGAAAATTTTAAAATTTTAGTGTTTGATCAATTTTCATCATATTGTTGCATGCATATTTAGTTTGTAATATAGTTTCAAAAATACCTTAATTTGTAATAAGTTTGTTCCATAATCGTATATTTTGTATGCATCAATAATTACATTTTTAGCAATGGCATTCCCGTTATTTATATTTAGAACATGCATTTTCCATGAAACCCCCAAACCACCATTCCTAATCCTAAACCACCATCTAAACCCTAAACCACTATCTAAACCCTAAATCACCATTCTTAGCCTTAAGCCACCATCCAAACCCAAAACCACCATTACAAACACTAAACCACCATTTAAACATCAAACCACCATCTAAGCCATAAACCACCATCTAAGCCCTAAAATCACCATCCAAACCCTAAGTCATCATATAAACCCTAAACCACCATATAAATCCTAAACTGCCATCAAAACCTTAAACTGCTATCCAAACCCTAAACCCTAAAATAAAACCCTAAACCTGAAACTTTATTGTTACATGCATTCTTAAATTATCATGCATTCTTAAATTATCATGCATTCATTCTTTGTCATTTATATTCAATTGTCATGTATTTATATTATTGTTATGTTCATACATAGTATGCATATGTTTTTAAAAAAGAGTTTTCAAAGAAAATTATTTTTAAATAAGATGACATCTCAAATAAAAATAACCTTTGAGATTTGGCCTAAATATTAAAGGACTCTCGATGGTTATCATTTATACGAGGTATTACCTCGATTTTGTGTGACAATTTGAAAACCCTTTAGTTAGAGATGTTTTTGAAGTTCTACTTAAATATAGGAGAGTGATAAAGTTGTCTTGATACCTAAGACGTTTTCATCTTAATCCAAAAATAAAATGCTTTGTATCCAAAAGAAAAAAATTGATTTACTTTCTAAAGAAAAGAAAAAAAATTCAAGTTTTGGAATAAATAAAGAAAAATTGATTTACTTTCACGAAATGACATGTTTATTATACGTGTTATACGCGATATGACATGATCAACACGTGTACAATAATATGTTTAAACACAACACAAATAAACATGAATAAAGTAGATATATACGAATAGACATGACTAATACGAATTTATATGAATAGGCACAACTAACATTAATATATACAAAAATATGGCTAAAATAATAAATAATTATAAACTATCCATCATTTACAACTTAATAAACTTGGCATATTAATAATATAAAAAAGTATTTACATATTAAAAAGAATAAAAAAATTCGATACCCATTTAATATGCGTTTAATATATATTACATAACTATATTAGTTTTTAGTATCAAATTCAAAATGATGAACATATTAAAGAATCAAGAAAAAAAAAGATTAAAGAATAAAATAATGATGTATATGACAAGTATTAATATTTATATTGTATTTATATTATTAATATAAAAAAATTATAATAATTATTAAATGAGTATCATAATTAAATATTTAAAATAACTTTTATATGGTATTGAATAACTAATTAAGTAGCATAATTAAAATATTAAAAATTAAAATAATCTTTTTATATTTATATTAAATTAAAATAAATATAAAAAATATGTTAAACATATTAAACGTGTTAAATGTGTACTCATATGACGAGATTCAATTAAGCATATTTTTCATATCGTGTCACATACTAAACATATATACCTGTGATACTTTTTTTTATCTAAATGTGTTTTTCATATCTTATATATATTTAGACATGTTAATATGTATAAAACACAATTTGTGTTGTGTTAAAATTTGTGTCTATATAAATAAACATGAAACATATTTTTTTTAAAATATATATAATTTATTTTATATCATTTTCATATGATATTATCGTATTTTATCTGAAATTATCAAATCTAGTTGCTCAAGAACAAGAATATGGATGAGGAGCGCCGATTTTTCATTAGATTCAGTTGGTATGCATAAAAAATTTAAGATATCACGCAGGTAACTTACAATTACATATTAGAGTTTTTAGCCGTTTTAATTGACCAAAGATACAAAGTTAGGAGACTTCCATGCTCGTTGTCTGTTTTCTGGAAAATTTGTAAAAATAAATTGTAGAAATATGTCATACAAGTTACTCTGATGAAGTCAATTTGTTTATATGTTAAATTTTCTTGTCCAACCAAGGAGAAATTAAACGATCGAAAATCTTTAAATTGTTATGGCTGCATTTGCATATGTTTGATGCGTTTACTTTTTTTTTTTTTTATATATATATGCAATTGGATCGTGTTAAGTCATTTGGATATCATGATACAAGTGCCATTGCGCAAAACATTGTATCATGCCATAAAATTTTCACTGGAGGGAGGGGGATCTGTTTTTCATTCTCATCGTAGCTCCCTATTCAAGAAAACACCATACTTTTTTTATTTAACTTTTAAAATGATAGTGCACTCAAATTAGAAATGATTACGGTTTAGATGAGATTTAATTTGATTTATTTTTTTATATAAGATATATAATTATGAAAATTTAAAATTTAATTAAAATTTTAACCAAACTTTCATACGATTTGATCCAAATTGAATTAAATTTTATTGATTCAGTTCAACTCAATTCATTAGCTTTTGAAATTTATTTTTTTGTTTTTATATATTATTTTAATATAATTTTTAATATATTTAAATAGATATAAGTATAAAATTATTATTTTATTTTATAAAAATTTAAAATATATAAAAACTAATAAAAATGTATAATTTGATTTTATTTTTTTGGTTACTTTCGAATTCAAAATTCGATTGGAATCTAATATATATATATATTTAATATTTGAATTTAATTCAAATCAAATAAAAAAAAATCGATACGAACCTAACTGAACATTGAAATTTGAAATAAATTTTCAATTTTCTCAAATTTTTTTACAGCCTTAACTCAAGCTTTTCTTTGTCTATTCATTTTTTATTTTTAAAACTTTATTTTAAATTAAAAATAATTATTACTTTGATATAAAATAATAATTATCATCTAAATTAACATCACTTTGTGTAAATATGTTATTATCGATTCTTTTTTAAAATAATTTGATTATTACTATCATCTATATAAAGTCAAATTTAATGTTTTTAATTATTATTTTTAATTATATTTTATTCTATCAATATTATTGTGTTTGTCACCGTTATTTTTAATCTCAACCAAGATAAATCTCATCGTCATCGTTCAAATGAATTTAAATTAATGCTGTATATTTGCGTAACATGTAACTAACAACCTTTTTTTATTTTGGGTTTTTGTGTGTATATATTTGAAAATAGCAACTACATTAACATTTCCTTTTGGTTGAGAGCGCTAACAATTAATCATCATGGAGTTGATATAAAGACACAATCAACGCTGTCTTAATGGGGATAAAAGCGATACAGCTCTGACATTATATGCATTGCACTTTTGCAAACTTAAATGAACAATTAACAATGAGACGTATGCAAGTAACAAATTAGGAGAGTGCATACTACTGAATTAGTTTATAGATTTTTTTTATAACACTGTTAAAATTCTCTTCAAATTTTTTCTGAGTTAATTTTTTTTTCAAATAATTCTAAAAGCATACTTTTTTACATCGATATAATATAATATATTCAAAATTTTATTTTTATAATAATTTTTATAAAACAGCAGTGGATTTGTAATTTTTTGAGAGGTATCCATTTATAATATATATATATATATATCAATGTTTAAAAAAAATTTTGAAAATGTTTAAATTTAAAAAAAAATTTCTTTTAATTTTTAAAATATCTATAAACACTCAATCTATATCCATATACATGGGTTCACCTCCGTTAAATAATTGAACTTCATAGTAAGAAAAAAGTTCATTATATTTTATTTTCCTTCTAAAATTTTTATGAAAAAATGGATTGAAAAAGAAAAGTGAATTTGAATCATCTACGGGGCCAAAAAAAAAAAGGAACCATTGATAGCATAGGGGTAGTATTATTATACTCAAAAAATTTCCATTTTAGAATCAAACTCATCATCATGGTTCCTATTTTTCAAAGTAAGAGATTGGATCCCTATTCCATGTGACACAGTGATCAAAGAATCCATCCAAAGATTTCATTATTCTCCCACCATGGAGAACACAATTCCATGTGGAGCTCATTTCTTTCTCTCTCTTTTCCTCGTTATAAAAAAAGCTCTCCTGGACAGACAACTTTCTCTCCACGCCTGGTCCTTTTCTCCAAACAGTTTCAGCAGGAAATCAACCCAACCCGAGATATGGGTTTAGTCTTCAAAGCCTTGCTCTTCCGGTTCCCTCTGTTTTTGTTTTTGTTTTTGCTTCTACTCCACTCACCAACAAAAGCTGGGGATTTCAATGCCATAAATAATAATACCAACAGTTCCACTGCTAGAATTTTAGCTTCTAACTGCAACTGGTTCAGAGGGAAATGGGTATACGATCCTTCTTATCCTCTCTACGGCCCCTCCAAATGCCCTTTCATCGATGGAGAATTCGACTGCAAAAAGTATGGCCGACCTGATAACATGTATCTCAAATACAGATGGCAGCCCTTCTCCTGTAGCCTTCCCAGGTCAGAGTCCTTTTAATTTCCACGGGTGATCCATTAGTTTATACCAGAGATTAACGATCACAATGTTTTGAATTGCAGGTTCAATGGGCTGTATTTCTTGGAGAAATGGAGAGGAAAGAAGATCATGTTCGTGGGTGACTCACTCAGCATGAACCAATTCCAGTCTTTAACATGTATGATTCAAGCCGGCGTTCCAAATTCAAAGATTTTATACATCAAAAGAGATGGTCTTACTTCAGTTACCTTTCAGGTCAGTGGGATTTTAAACTCTTGATTTTTGCATGTCATGTCCCTTTCTTTTTCAATCTTTTGACAAGGTAAAGTTTCCATTGTCTTAACTAAATTCCGCTAGTTCCAATCCAATTTTTTGCTAGTTACAGCAGAGAATTTTCAACACGCTTTTGGTGGATTTCAAATCTTTTTTCGGTGCATTGCTTGGGAAGGAACAATAATCCTTTCCAAAATGCAAAATTTAACATACTTCCAAATTAGTACTCCATACAAATTGATATATGATCAAAGAACACTTGTTAAAGGTTTTTTTTGGTATTCCGTCTCATGTTTTTTTGGAATGTTTTGAACTTGTGTTTTTAAAATTATCTTTATAATTTTTTTACTTTTCACATTAAAAATCCTAGAATATCAATTTTTATTAAATTTAAATTTTTATATATTAAAATTAATTTTTTTAAAAAAAATTGTGAAAATAAAAGAAAAAATTGGATGGAAGAAGAATTTATTTATATTTTTTAGAAAATAGTTTTGAATATCTTGAATACATTGGAGATTACTTAACAAGTATAATATATTAAGAGAATAAGAATATTCAGAAATATGAAACGGGTCTTTGTTTTGTCGAAAATCAAAGTGCGTGAGCCATGGAGGCGGGAGTAAGGTAAATTTGATTTGTATGCATTAAAAGCGGAGCGTGATTCGGTGGACGGCCTTGCTTTTTGCAGGGAAATGTGAGGCTGTGTGTAATTATGTGGTTGTCACTGTCTTATCATACATACTTGAAATTTTATATTAAATATCAAAATGCTGCAATTTTTATGTCAGTATAAAATCCTGGTTGGCACTTTAAATGTCGGTTCAATGTGCCTTTTTTATGTTCAACTGTCTTAAATAAACTCATTAAATTTGAATTTATTTGGGAGGGTTTGACAGAAACATTAAACTCATTAAATTTGAAGGTTCATTCTTTATTTGGGAGGGTTTGAAAAGAATATTGTTAAAGAGCAAAATAAATAAAATCTGTTTAAAAAGTAATTTTGATCTTATATCCAACATTTAAGGATTGTATTCAACTATGTCAAATCCGAATTATATAAAATATATAATTTTTTATTTATATATACTATATAATTTATATTATATAAAAGATAAATGTATGTAATATTGTAGTGTAAACATTAAAAAATAAGCTCAATTATCTATGTTTTAAAATTTAATAAAAGATAAAAATAAAGATGAAATAAAAATATTATATTTTAATTGTTTAAAAAAAAAATTATTTGATTAGATCTGAGCTGTGCTATTTATAAATTAGAACGGGTCTAAGTAAAATTTGAAATCAAAATTTTCAAGGTAGGGTTTGAATAACACCTAAGGTGTTCATGCCATACCTAAACTTGATTGTGGATTTCAATAAATTTTTTGTTGGATTTTTGTTGGCTTGTAAGACATAATGAGTAAGTACAAGATATTAAGGGGATATTTAGTTCACGAAATTTTGAATTTCAAAAGAAAGGTTATTTTCGAAAAGATGTGATATTAATTATTTGTTTTTTATTTTCAAGGTATTTTGTATTTAGATTCATTCATTTTGGCTAAAAAGAATCTATATATATTAATTTTTAAATAATTATTATAATATCATTGACATATACGATGATAATTTCTTATTAACTTTTATTAATAATAAATACTCAAATAATAAATAATGCATTTAATAGCAAAAAAAGATAAATATTTTATTGGATTGTTGTTTTTATTTATAAAATATCATCATTAAAAAAATATTAAAGATTATTTAAGACATTCCTAGTTGAGAAATATCTTAAATAATTTCTTTTATTTTTTTAAAAAAGATTAGTTAAGGTGTTTTTGATTTAAAACCTTTTTAAATAAATGCCATTTAAAAAATATGAGTGGACTATTTAATGTGTTTTTGATAAAAAATATTTTAAATAATTTTTAATTTTTTTTAAAAGAGATTACCTAAAGTGTTTTTAAACAAAAAATGCTTTACATAATCTCTTTCGTTACTTATAAAATCTAAAATATAAAATATAGAATAGCTCAATTAGTTAAAACATATGATTATTAACTATAAGGACGTAGTTTTGACTGTTCATTCTAGTTTTTCAATGTTTTTTGAAAGAGATTATTTCATGTATTTTTTTATTTTTTTTTAAAAAAATATTTAAGACTTTTTTCATGACAAATGTCATTAATTGCAATCACAAAAAAAAAAAAAAATTAGCAACAAAAACTTACAATTAAATTGCAGTCACTTTCAAACATATTTTTTAAAAGGGTATCAATTATTTTATAATTTTTTATTCAAATTAAATTTAGAAATAACATTATTTTTTTCTCAGAATCTTAAAATATCATATGGAGATATTGGTTTCTGATTTTGAGATTTTTTGTGATGTTGAAAATCTTTCACTTTTTTCTATAATTAGATTATTTTGAATCAAACATTAAAATCGAATACCCACTAATAAAATTTTAAAGGAAATCCTGAATCAAATATCACCTAAGAAATCACTTGGGTTTTTTAACTTTCAAGGACCAGTTATGAGTTGTGAGTTGTAACAGGGAAGATCTAAGTTCTGTGCTTACACGTTCTTCTTTTTTCAAGTAAATATTATCCGCTTAATTTGTGGCAAATTTGGACCACCCTCCCTTTACAATTAGAGATGATGGGGGTGAAAGAGATGGCATTCTGACGTATTCTGTATTAGTATTTTCCTAACTTGTCGAACCATTTCTTTTGACTTGTGTGGATTAGAGCACTCCATCATGCAATGTGTTATTCAAGCCACAAAAGGTTTTTAGTTTAGTAATCTGGTCCACGTTCAATTTTTGAGAAATACTATCACTTTAAAAATAAAAATTTTAAATGTATCACGTCAACATTTTTTAAAAAAAGTTGCTATACGTCCACTGCTCCTTTGAAATCGGTTGTGTGTTTTTAATTAATATTTTACTGATCATTTAATGAGATCTTGCATTTTTAATCAAGAAGATAATCGAGCGAATGAAATTTGATCCCAACGACTAAAAAATAGATCTTTGAACTTTTAAATTTCACAATTAAATCTCAGCAAACATGAGTTTAGTATAATTTTATAGTTTATTTATTAATTTAATTTACGAATTAGAGGCTTTATTTCACAGATATTGCAAGCTATTTTACTGTGATTATAAGTTTTATTTATAATATATAATATCATAAAAAAATTAATACTTTGATAATTGGAACAGATTAAAGCTGAAAATATATTAAGATTGAATGATATATAGTACTCCCTTTATCTTATTTTTTTTATCTATTTTTTTGAGATATCCTAAAATTATATATATTTTAAATATCTAAAATTTTTATTTTTTATATTTTAAAAGTATTTTTATGATTTTTAAACATTAAAAATATGATATTTTAATATATTAAATACATTAAAATCAAAATTTTTATTTTAAATTTTATGAAAATCAATACAAGAATAGTATTTAAGAAATAAAAAATGTTTACACTGTAATAGTACGTTTGTTTTATATATATATATTTTTATATATTCAGGATTATGGAGTGAAGATATTGCTATAAAGAACGCCATACCTAGTTGACTAAGCGAATGAGAAGGTGGGAAGAGTGTTGAAGCCGGACTCCATCAGGAGCGGTGCTGCATGGAAAGGCATGGACATGTTGATCTTTAACACGTGGCATTGGTGGACCCACAATGGAAGATCTCAACCGTAAGAATATTTTCTTTTTTCACTTCCTCACCGCAGGTGTTCATGGACTAGGTTCACGTTACACCCAGTGGGCGTCCATATTTTAAACCCAAACTCGAGTTCACTATGCATCTGCCTTGTCAATGCCTATAATATTTATTATTTTAAAGTATATTTAAAAATTAAAATGAAAAAAAGTTACTAATGTTGATGAATTGATACCTTCATATGGAAAAAAAAGAAAAAATTTAGTGCATGTACCTTGTCGTTCTTTTTGGGTCTCGATGAAAAAGAAATTAATCCTACATGAATATTAATTCAATTATTTTGTATTTATAAAAATACTAATCATCATATATAAAATTGTTAAAAAACGTAAAATAATTTATTTTATATTTTTTCTCATTTATATTATATTAGTTTTCTATTAGTATATATACTATATTTTAGCACATTTATTAGTATAAAACTAATGTAATATATGAAATTAAAATTGGTATGGAATAATAATAATAAATTGCTATGGGTTTTGTGCAGATTTGATTACATAGAAGATGGTGGAAAAACTTTGAAAGACATGAACCGTATGATCGCCTATTACAAAGGACTAACGACGTGGGCCAGATGGGTCAACCGCAATGTTGATCCTTCCAAAACCAAGGTGTTTTTCCAGGGAATTTCACCAACCCACTATGAGTAAGCAAACCAAACTCTTGTATTAAATTTCTTTCCTTTTTAGGATTTTTCTTTAAATTTCCTTTTCTCAATGCTTTTTCCCTTTCGTTGTTTGAGACATTTGATTATAATGTTGATTGTCTTGTGGAGTAATTATCCGATTTGCTGAGAGACGCATACAAATGTAGGGGAAAGGATTGGAACGAACCAACAAAATCATGTTCTGGACAGATGCAACCATTCTTTGGCATTAGATACCCAGCAGGCACACCCATGGCTTTGGTTGTTCTGAAAAAGGTCCTTGGTAGGATTAAGAAACCAGTGTATTTGCTCGACGTTACCGCACTTTCTCAGTATCGGAAAGATGCACACCCATCAGCATACATCAGCACACACACTGGCACAGACTGTAGCCACTGGTGCCTTCCAGGTTTGCCAGATACCTGGAACCATCTCTTATATGCAGCTCTTTTTAGTTAAAGGATTGGAAGCTTAGGAGAAAATTAGCTGTAGGCAGATAAAATTAATTTGGATGAAAACCATTTGCTTTCTACCCAAATGAACTTCCTTTTCTTTGATTATTGTGCAAGTGGGCAATAAGACAAATCATCATAATTCAATTGTAAATTTTAATTTGTTTCAGCACAAGTTCAAGAAAATTCCCTTGTCCAAAACTCTTATCAGTTCCTACCTGTAATTCTTATTATAATTTTCTTATTCTTCAATACGTATATGGTATAAAAATGTATGTAAATTCTATCTGATCTTCGTCTCAAGTTTCCACTGGCTTGTTCTTGGGGGGGGGGGGGTCAAAGTGTTTTTATATATTAACTTATTATATGATGCGGATTTACGACTTCCAATTAATATAATTCCCAATCGTAGCGAGTTCCTCCGCATGTTGGACAACTATTTCATCTTTCTGTATGCATTTCAATGCATCAACTATTCCCATGTTTTGGTTCGTCCCCTTGTATGTACTATTTCGGTTAAAGGGGCTTAGAGTTGTCAGGATGGCTTGGCGTTTGAATTTGGATCAAAGAAAAATTGAATCATTTTAAATTTGGATCAAAGAAAATTCAGGTCATTTCGGGTTTTACTACAACAGAACAACTCTTCAGCAATGAAAATTTTCTGTGAAACTTGGTCTTAATGGAAACTTTCTATTACTAAAAGTCATCCTTTATTAATGAAATTTCGACAAAAAATTGGGATAAAGTTTGTGAAATTTTCGATGGAACTAAATTCTGTTAGCATCTCTACCGATAATGTTGGTGATAACTCTATTAAATAGAGTTATTTTTAGTGTTTAAATAAGTTAATTTTGTTTAGTTCTTAGTAAAATAATGATTTTTTTACTCTTAGTGGGCTTAATTGGCTGTTTTGTAAGAAATTTTGAAAAAAAGATTAAATTTTGAGAAATCTTGAAGAATCTTGAAAATTCTTAATCTTGTTGGGTTTTTGGTATATTTGGATGAATCTTGAACTGTACTTAGTATAGTATTATTGATTTTTTTTAATTCTTGAAAATCTTGAAGTTGGAGTGAAGATGAATTTATGCAAGACTTGTTTTGCTAACCCTACACAAGTGAGGAATTGTTTAATGTTGATGAAAAATTCAAAAAATTCATGCAAGAATTATGAAAGGGATGTTCAGTCATTATAAAAGGATAATTATGTAATTTCAAGTTAAATGCAAGTCCAAGGAGTTCTATGTAGTATGCAATGCATGTGATTATTGTGGATGACATAGTAATAAGTTCTTTTTCATTGACAAGGAGAGATGACTTGGAAGCTTATGTGGCATAATGGCTTAATAATTATGTTTACATTGAAATTGTCCAAATAGCCTTTAGTTTTCCTATTTCATGAAGGAAATTCCATTTTGACTTGGAATTCCTACATTGACCAGGGGATTTGGTTATACTACTTATAGTTGGTTTTCCTAAGTTAACTAGGAAATCCTAGTTTGAATAGGTATTCTTACAAAGGGTAAGATTTGCAAGAAGATAAAAGATTATTAAAAGGAAGAGGGCCACACTAGTAGGAGAATACTACTTAGAGATTTTATTTTCTCTAAGAAATCCTACTCTAACTCTAAGAAGTTTTAAGAAGCCTAAAACCTATTCCAAGTTGAAGATTTGTTTCTAAAATGTTGCCAAAGTGTTCAAGTCCAAGAAAATACCAAGAAAGCTTTTAGAAAGTTGCAAAATTCAAAATTATTTTAGGAGCTTAAGTCCCACCAAACAAGAGAAGTGTTCAAGATTGTTAGTAGTTGAAAACTTCAAGGCTGATTGAGAATCTATAAATGCATAAATTGGAACAAGTAATATAGAATGATAGTATCATTCCTACGAAGATTGAAATATATGAAAAAGAATTAAGTATTGAAATTGTTTACTCTAATTATATCTAGAAGATAAAAAATTAGAATGCCGTAACTAAATAACTGCTTAAATTAACTAACTAAACCACAATCTAACTAAGCATGTAAAATAAACTAAATCTGAATTTAACAACTGAATTAAACAAAACATAATGTAAATTTACTTAGTAAAATTATAAACATGTAATTAACCACAAACTAACATGCAATAAACTTAAATAACTTCAATTAAACTTAAATGGTAGCAAATGACATGCAATTTAAACTAATTAAACCTAAAAACATACTAACTAATTAAATTAATATGAATTAAATTTAAAATAGGAACTTAACTTAAAACCAAATCAAATTAACATAATAACTTGCAAACTAATTAACTTAACATGAATTAACTAAAAAACAGCAAACTAACTTATAACTGAATTAAATTAAACTTAGAAACATGCAAACCGAATTAAATTTATTATTTAAACCTCAAAACAACAAATTAAAGCAAGAACATAAATCTAAGAAAACTTGAATTGAAAATAAAACAAAACTTCAATTTAAAAGAAAATTGAAATTGAACTTTGCATAAACTTAAAATAACTTAAAGCAAGCTTAAAAACATAAAAAGTAAAGAACAAGAAAACTAAATAAGCTAACTATTTTAGGTTGGGCTATCACCCTAAACCTTACTTCAAATTTTTTCTAAACAAAATATAGCTATTTATAGAATAAGAATACAAAGAATCTTAAAGTTAAAAGGATAAGTAGTGGCAGTTAAGGCTTTCTTCAAGAGAAAGAATGCCGGGTAATTACTTTTAAACCATTGGCAACCTTATTGAATAAGAGCTCCAACTTGGACTAGGCTTTAGCACTCTTGGACCTTTCTTGAATCAGGCTAGGTTTTCTTGAATAATAAATAGACAATCGACCTTTCCTCTTAGTAACCCCAAATTTGTGTTGTACTTTTCTTAAATAACTTTTTCCATTGGACTTGAATCTTGAAATCAATTGGTCTTATATCAAAGTTTTAGATCTTGGACTTATGCTTCTAATTAAAGAATTCTTGGAAAAAAAAGAAGTAAAATTCTAAGTTGTGTTCTTTTCATGCATTGCCCCTGTTTTTAGTACTCTTCTATTTTCATGCAAATCCTACCATTGGTAAGAGTACCCATTTAAACTAGGATTTCCTTGTCAACTTAGGAAAAGCAACTCTAAGTAACATAACAAATGCTTTTTTTAGTCAAGGTAGGAATTTTAAGTTAAAGTGGGATTTTTTAATAAAAGTGAGAAGACCTTCTTGAACTAGGATTACTAAGGGCGATTTGGACTTTTTCAAGTATGGACAAGATTTCCAAGTAAGATGCCATATAAGCTTTCAAGTCATCTCTTTTAACTAATGAAAAAAAGACTTGTTGCCATGTCATCCACAAAAATCTCATGCATGTGCACTTACATAAAACACCATCGACTTGCATTTAACTTGAATTTACTTTTTTACCTCCTATAACGGTAGAAAATCCCTTTGTAATTCTTACATGAATTTTTTGAATTTTTTGTCAATATTCAACCAATCTTAAGTCTTGAGGTGTGGCATTCAAACCTTGAATAAATTATTATACTTTTGTAGACACCTAATTTGGTTCAAGCCCGGATCAATTAGGCCTGGTCCAAATGAGTAAACCCATTTACATTTTTATTTTTATTTATTTATTTATTTATAAATATATTTTTTTTCTTATTTATCTATTAATCTTTTTTATTTATCTATTAATATATATATATACATTTTTATTATTTATTAATATATTTTTTATTATTTATCTATTAATGTATATTTTTTATATTTATCTATTATTATTATTTTTATTTATCTATTAATATGTTTTTATATTTATCTATCAATGTATATTTATCTATTATTATTATTTTTTTGGTTGGTTTATCTGGTCTTAATTCTGTTTTAATTATAATTCTTGGTTATAGAAGGGAGTTTGGCCGTAAAATCAAGAGACCGAGAGAGTTGAAATTGGATTCAAAGATCAAATCCAAATCCCAAAGGGAATTGAGATTGATTAAAAATTCTTCTGATCAATCCCTATAAATAGGTGTTGAAACAGAATCCAAGGGAACACGAAAAAACACACACAAAGAGAAAACAGAAGCTAAAAAGGTTCTGGTGCGTTACATACAGCTTTAGAAATTTGTGAAATTTTTTATAAAATTTTTAAAGTTTTTTTCTAGAAAAGTTTTGAAAAATTTTCATAATCCGATGAAATTTTTCAACGAACCTTGAGTTTTTTGACAAGTTTTCACGTCAATTTTAAAGTTTTTAGTGTTATTTTTTAGAATCAGGGTGAAAATTTAACCGGATTCTGGGTTGTGTTCTTCGGGTAGAAAGAAGGAAGAGAAACATAAAAGAAGAGAGAAAAGGAAGAAGGTCTATCTGAAGAAAAAACCCATTCTTTACCTTTTATACCTGCGCAAAACAACATCATTTTAGTGTTAGTACATTACCAGGATCCGTGTGTTTTTGTTTGGGTTGACCCTACCCAATCGCAACCCGATTTGTTAACCCGCATGCTAGCCGATCCCTGGAGCCGAGCAGAGCCGAGTCGAGCTGACGTCCCCGAGCTACGTCTTCGAGCCGCCTTTTCTGTCTTGAGCCGAGCCGTTCCAAAGGTTTTTTTTTCTTATTTATTATTATTATTATTTCTTTTTTTATTATTATTTATTGATTAGATTAGAATTATTTAGTATCCCTTATTTTATTTTATTTTTATTTTATCTTATTTTATTTTATTTTTGATTTTTTTTAAATAAAATTCCAAAAAAATATATTTTTGAGGAAAAGTTGAAAGTATCAATTTTCTTTGAAAATAATTTTCTAAAAAAAGGTTTTTTTGAGAAAAAGTTGAAAGTATCGATTTTTCTTGTATAAAAGCAATGAATTTTTGAAAAGAAAAAGATTTATATTTAAAGCTGAATCATTTTTTTTTCATTTTTATTTCTTTTCCTTTTTGTTTTTTGAATTTTCTTCAATGTTAAATAATCCGACGATAGAGCCTCTGCAAGTGAAATAGTAGTCTCCTTGCATACTCTTGAGGTGAGAGAATTTTTTCAATTTTTTGCTAAAAGCATTAGAGTCAATTGAGAATAATTTTCAATAATTAATTACTTGATAAATTTTTAAGGCTTATTGGATAACACAAAATTAAGTTGGTATCATCTTTCGATGGACATTGTGAGGGTACTATAACTTTTCTCATACGTAACTGTACTCTCGAATCCTGTTCTGATTAGTAGACCTGAACCTATTCTTTTAGGAACCCTTAGGCTTAGGTGTTCCTTAAAAGGATAGATTTCATAGGAATCGCACCTAGATAAAAAAAATTGGTGACGACTCCTTCAAGTTAATGTCTAGCGATAGATCTCCTGATTTAGACGTTATGACAATTTTCACTTTAAGATTTTCGAAGAACTCCAAGAATAAACAAAAACACATTAATAACCCTCCAAAATTCATTCAAATGCATCAAGAATCATCCAAATTTGATCAAAACCTTCCAAGATTCTTCAAGATACACCAAGATTTAATCTTTTCTTCAAGATTTCCTACAAAAAGCAAATTAAGCACATTAGGAGTAGAAATAACCTTATTTAGCTAAGAACTAAGCAAAATTAACTCATTTAAGCACTAAAAATAAGTATAAATAACTCTGTTTCATAGAATTATCAAAGTCTTTAAGTTCCTAAAAGCTTAAAGTCGTATAAAACTTTTTGCCAAAAAAAGGTTATAAGTAGCTTAAAGTTAGGACTTTGAAAGCCACTTGAAAGAGTTTAAGAAAGAATCAACTTCTCATTTCTTAAAGAAGTAGTCGAACTTTCTTTTTTCAACTGAAAAGAGACATGTCATCAAGATTACTCCAAGTCAGTGATAAATTTAGCCAAAATTTAGTTTACATACATTCATGTGAAGATGAGACAACTTATCCATTAAAAATCTAATTCAAAAAGACTCTTTCAATTTAAGATACTAAGCATGGTCCAAAATTCATTCAAATGCATCAAGAATCATCCAAATTTGATCAAAACCTTCCAAGATTCTTCAAGATACACCAAGATTTAATCTTTTCTTCAAGATTTCCTACAAAAAGCAAATTAAGCACATTAGGAGTAGAAATAACCTTATTTAGCTAATAACTAAGCAAAATTAACTCATTTAAGCACTAAAAATAAGTATAAATAACTCTATTTCATAGAATTATCAAATTCTTTAAGTTCCTAAAAGCTTAAAGTCGTATAAAACTTTTTGCCAAAAAAAGGTTATAAGTAGCTTAAAGTTAGGACTTTGAAAGCCACTTGAAAGAGTTTAAGAAAGAATCAACTTCTCATTTCTTAAAGAAGTAGTCGAACTTTCTTTTTTCAACTGAAAAGAGACATGTCATCAAGATTACTCCAAGTCAGTGATAAATTTAGCCAAAATTTAGTTTACATACATTCATGTGAAGATGAGACAACTTATCCATTAAAAATCTAATTCAAAAAGACTCTTTCAATTTAAGATACTAAGCATGGTCCAAAATTCATTCAAATGCATCAAGAATCATCCAAATTTGATCAAAACCTTCCAAGATTCTTCAAGATACACCAAGATTTAATCTTTTCTTCAAGATTTCCTACAAAAAGCAAATTAAGCACATTAGGAGTAGAAATAACCTTATTTAGCTAAGAACTAAGCAAAATTAACTCATTTAAGCACTAAAAATAAGTATAAATAACTCTATTTCATAGAATTATCAAAGTCTTTAAGTTCCTAAAAGCTTAAAGTCGTATAAAACTTTTTGCCAAAAAAAGGTTATAAGTAGCTTAAAGTTAGGACTTTGAAAGCCACTTGAAAGAGTTTAAGAAAGAATCAACTTCTCATTTCTTAAAGAAGTAGTCGAACTTTCTTTTTTCAATTGAAAAGAGACATGTCATCAAGATTACTCCAAGTCAGTGATAAATTTAGCCAAAATTTAGTTTACATACATTCATGTGAAGATGAGACAACTTATCCATTAAAAATCTAATTCAAAAAGACTCTTTCAATTTAAGATACTAAGCATGGTCGAATCACACTACTTCAAAAGATTGAGATTAAGCCTACTGCATTTCTCTAGGGTTTATTTGTGTATAAATAACTAGCTTAAGCATTAATGATTAGCATGGTTGTCGTGATAGCCCATCCTATAGATTTTTAAGGTTATCTTTTATTGTTTTCTTATTTTTTTAGGTTCTTTTTAGTTTGAGGCTTGGGGTAATAGACAAGTAATTGTTTTTTTAAACTTTAGTATTGTTTTCTTAAGTTTTCAATTCAATTCAGTTCTTTCAAGTTAATTTAAATTTTTGCAAGTTTAATTTAAGTTTTTCAAGCATTTTAGTTATGTTTTGATTTAATTTAAGTTTAAGCTCCCTAATTTTCTATTTATGCTATTTACTTTAATATGTTGTTTTAATTTAATTTAACTTCAATTCATGCAATTTAAGGTTAATTTAGTTCTGTTCTAGTTTAATTTAAGTTTCTCAAGTTAAATTTAGTTGCACAATTTATGATTGCAAGTTGTTAGTTTAGGGTTAATGTTTTTGCATGATTTTAAGTTAAATTTGCTAATTTAAATTCTGTTAAGTATAATTTAAGTTTAGTTGTTTTGTTTATAAGGGTTAGTTTACTGTTCTTGAAGTTTAATAAGTTCATTTAATTCAATTTAAGCTTCAATTCATGCTAATTTAGGTTGTTTAATTTAGTTTTAGTTTAGTCTTTAGTTTTTTCATGTTTAATTAAGTTTGTTAGATTGCTGTTTAGTTTATTCATTAAGTTTTGATTTTTAATTTAAATTCTAGCATGTTAAATTGGTTTTTAGGTTGTGATTTAGATTCAGTTTTACTTATTACATGTTTAATTGTTATTGCATGCCTTAATTTCCATATCTGTTTACAGTTTTGATTTACTTATGTTGCTTTAATTTAAGTTTAATTCTTTGTTTTTACATATTTAAATTTCAGTTTTAAATTGTTAGCTTATTTAATTAGATTTTTTGCGTAAGTTAATTTTCTACTTTGATTAGTTAAGTAGTTTAATTTAGTTCTTGCTTTTTAATTATTGATTTATCTAAATATAATTAAGGTGTTTTAATTTCGATACTTAGTATTAATTTTATTTATAATTCTTGTGAGAGTGATACTGTATTCATCTTATATTATTTGTTACGATCCATGCACTTGCGATATCACTCATAAAGCAAGGTCTAATATCATTTTTAAAATCCCATGATGATCTAATCTCCATGATGATAAGGTGACATGATTTAGTCACTAGTGATATTAAATTACATGATTGGTCAAGTAGAAATTATCAATTATCTTAAATTAGGTATTTGATATTGCACAAAAAATGTTTGATTAAAAAGTACCCAAAATAACCTTTGGAAAAGAAAACAACAATTTTAATTTGGCTAACCTCTAAAATATAATTAAAAAAAAAAATCATCTAAGCACTTATTTTTTTTATTGCAATCAATCAAGTGCTCTAATATTTATATATATCCAATTAAGACCTTGTTTAGATAAAAAAGTAACACTATTAAATTTTTTGCTAACGAAGATAAAATTATGCCACATAACATAATTAATATTTGTGAAAATAAAATAAAATAAACTTTTATTTTTTTCTTCTCTATTTTTCTCTCATTTCTCTTTAAAAATCCTTTAAGAATTCAATTAATTATAGTTTAGAGATTGATTGATTGATTTAATTTTTTAGGTGATTAGATTCATTTTTTTCATGTGACTAAATTTCATCAAAATAAGAATTTAATTTAATTGAAATAAAAAAAATTAAAGGTTTATCAATTTTAATAAATTGTTAAGAATTTAAATAATTATTAAATTATAATTCAAAAGCTTTTTGACCCTTTGCCCGTTTAATTTTGATTGAATGAATAATTTGTAAAATAGCAATTCATCATCTATATACAATTCAATCACAATATTTGATAGCAACTTGAGAGTTAATTAATTAAATAAATTTATTTGTTTTTTTTATAATCAATAATTTGGAGGTTTACTTATAAAGACAAATTTTGAAAGGAAACATGTAAGAGAATATCGATAACTTTGTTGAATGATTTTACTAATTCCTTTAATTTTCTTTATTTTTTTTTAAAAGTGGTGCTTATTTTATGGGAATTTCCTCTATACATCCGAGCATGTGCATATACGAGATTAAGGAAAATTCCAGAATGAAGGCACCGCTTTATTGATTTTTTCTTCTAATCAAGCGCCGATTTTTCTCAAAACAATTCTTTACTAATCAACGTGTTACGTTCTACTTTTTACAGGAAGCGAAGTGAAAAACAAGGTTCTATAAAATTTCCCATAAAGAAATACTACTTTGTACTAATTAAAAGTCAAATACAGTAAAAATTCGAGTGGTAGAAATATCCCCATAAATTAGCCAGAAATCAAAGTCCCATGTTTATATAAAGTATGTATAATCAAGAGTCAAGAATCCTGAAATGAAAATTCGCCTAAATTTCTCCCCTATTAGAATAATAATCAAATAACCGAATAAATAGCAAAGAGATCCAGAAAATATGTGAAGCCAGCTATATATGTAATGCTAAAACACTGAAAAATAAAGAGATCACAACAATCGTTGTAGACTGAGAGAGCAATTAACAAGGGATCTGTTCAGTGAACCATTCCATCACATGAATTGGAGCTTTGATCAACTCCAGCGCCATCTCCACTAGCACCGTCACGCACAAACAACAAGGACAGATCAATGTCAACAACAACCTGCCAAAACCCAAGGCAGGAAAAACTATTTGTCAGATACCCAGAAGCTGAAAAGCATTCAGAAGAGCAGAAGACAAAATATTTTTCAATTAGAACCTGTAGGGATCAGATACTTAAGTTGACTGGAAAAGATAATTAGAACAAATCAAAACCCAGACCCAAATAATGACAAAAGTAGCAAACAGCAGAAGAAAGTCAACAAATGGAAAGCGAAGAGAAGGGGAAGGACTAACCCCACGATCCAAACAACAACGCCAACAATAGAGACGATTAAAGAAAGAAAAGCAAAGGGAAGGCCAAGGAGGAAACCCAGGGGCTTGCAATCTCCATCACAGCACATGATTTTTTGGTTTGTTTCTCAATGTTTGCTTCACAGAAAGTTCTTTTTATAATCCTGGTATTTATTCGGTCCAGTCTAGTAAAGGCGACAAAGAAGTCGTTATGAGGAAAGACGTGTGCTTGATATTGGCTTTGCTTTGGAGAGAATTATTGACAATGGAGTAGTGTAGGGCCTAATAAATGCCAAAGAAAATGAGGCGTACACGTTATATTGGCTTTTACATTCGGCAACCCCGAAATTTCCTACTTATTCTCTCCAGCTCTGTCTCAATTTTTTTTTTTTCTTTTTTTTTGTTTCTATTAACACTAAAAATTCTTATTTTTTATTCCAAAATTATTTTCATTTTTACATTAAAAGTTAAGAACATCATTTTTACTAGAAATTTTTGAACCATCAATTTTACTATTTGACAAATATTAATAGAGTTAAAAGATGTGTTTTGGAAGAGAATAATACATAAAAAGGGTGGATGGTTATGAAAAATACATATATATTTTTAATTTTATATTTATTAGCATAATTTTATTTTTTTTAATTTAGTTTGCGTTACTTGAGTGCTAACATCGAATTCAACTAGTGACATTATTAATAGTACAGACAAATAAATTTTAGTATTTAATATTTAATACACAGAATTAAAATTTTTTTTCTTAAACTTCATAAAAATAAATGAAGAACAAAAAATTCAAGATAAAAGGAGAAGAATTTGTTAAGACTTGACAGTCTTTTGATATGTGATAATCTCTTTAGAGTTAGAGCTGGTTTTATTTTTCATAATTAAATTATATTTATGATTGTTTGAGAATATTACATAACAATGACCTTGCATCATTATTTTGAAAATGATCTGAATTCCATTATAAAAGTAGAAAGGTTTTACCATCAAAATGGATTGATATCTCGAATATCATTTTATGATAAATTTTTATTTATATTGCCGAGCACAAACACATGTCTCTCTAAAGATCAAATTCTATAATTAATTCTTGTACTTTATATAAAATGTGTATTTAGTCTTTGTACATTAATTTTAATATGAGAAGTACTTTTATTTTTTTACGATTTTAAATTCCAGTCCAATTAAAAACGGTGTTTGGTTTTCCCCATTAAAACAATGCGTGGCCATTGATTATCTTAATTACCATTTACCCGAGGACGTGTAAAAAAATTGATGATTTGGCAATTTTAATGACAGGGAATATCCACGTCAAAGTATTAGGTTTTTCGTCCCTACAACCGTATCATATTGGTGATTGTACAAAAGCCGTTTTATGTTTTTTTTTTTTAATTTTTTTTATTAAGTCTTCCCTTCGATTTCTCTCTCTCTAAAGTTCCGAATCCTGTAACCTCTCTCCAAAACTTAAAACACTCCATCACTAAAACCCAGAAGCAGTCAAAAAATCCAAAATCCGGTTGAACTTTACCGTTGCTATTGCCATTTGTCATCGCCAGGCATCGCTAGCCAACACCAGAAAACCAAAAACAACTTTTTTTTTTGGTTCCATTCGTCCTCCCGTTTCCTTTTCTTTGATTGCTTTTCCCAAAATCTCCTAGGAAAATCCTAGATTTACAGCTAAAGGTTCAGGTTTCCTCTTCCTTTGCCGTTGTCTACCACCACCGGCAACTGCTCCTCTTCTTTTTATCTTAGAAACCTGAAAAAAACTTAAAGAAGACCTTAGAATCCTCAAGTCAGAAAAACACAAAGGCCAGGGTAATAGTAATTGGACCTTAAACTTTGTGTTTGAGATGATATTGAGCTTCTATCTTCTTTGAGCCAACGAGGGCTCGCAAACCGAACTTGAATAGGTCAGGTTTTGGATGGAGATGGTGTAATAGGTGCAATCAATTACTTACCTATAGGGCTATGTGCAATCAATTAATTAAGCTCTGGAACATCAAACATCTCTCGTGAAAAGAAAAAAAAAAACCAAAAATCCTACACCACCTACATTTCCAAATTTTATAATCTATTGATGTAATCTGAGCCTTTAAAGAAAAAAATAGTGAACGACTTGGATTTCTTTGCATTAAACAAATCATCTTTTAAAAACCCTAAAATTCTCAAGTCCTGAAACAAGGAATCAAATAATGAAGTGATGATTGATTTGAATTATATGAGATGGAAAGAAAAAGGGTGCGCAAGATGAGCGGTTGGGGTGGATGATAAGGAGAGGGGAGCAAGTTAGAGGGATGTGAAAGGTGGGAGGGTGGTGTGTGTTCAGCCGTAGAGGAATAGGGGCGGGTCGATTGTTTTGGGTAAATCAGGGAAAGGCTTTTCGTTTTTTCAATCGGTCTGGATATGAAATTTTTTTTTGTTGAGGTTATGATTTTTTAATCCTAGTCACAAAATACATGCCATTTAATCAAGGACACATCATTGAGTTAAAAGACACATCATTCGGTTAATGAATACGTCATTATATTTAAAAGAAATTTATTATCATTTAAGATCGGATGAAAATTCAAAATCCCAAAAATACTGCCAATGTTGAAATTTATCTAGAGGGACTAAATCATATTATATGACAAGTACATGGACTTGTAGCATAATTTGACCAACACAATGCAACCTATTCGAATTAACATTTATGGGAAATAAGATTCGTAAAATGTTGAATTCTAATGAAAAGTGTGATATCTAAAAAAGTGTAATCCTTAAAAAAAAGTGTGATTTTCATAACTTCTCATTTTTAGATTTTTATGTTTGAATTCTAATGAAAAGTGTGATATCTAAAAAAATGTGATCTTTAAAAGAAAGTGTGATTTTTATAACTTTTCATTTTTAGATTTCTGTGTTTGATTGAAAAAAAAATGAATTTATTAAATCATGTATTTTTATCATAACATCTTTGACAATATAACAAATACATAATTTTATTAAAAGTATAATTGACAAATAATATAGTATTCAAGCGACCAATTAAAAAAGTAAAATAATTATAAATTATTGCCTTTATATTTAAAGGAACACAATATTTGATTTTTTTAAATTTAAATTGTAGCAATTACTACGTTTATATAACAAACACAGTAACTGATTTAAAAAAAAAAAACAATTATTGCATTGTTTTTTAAATAAACGCAGTAATTGATGATGTTCAAATTATTACAACGATAAATAACTATGTAATAAATAAATAAATGCCGTAATTGATTATTTTAAAAAGTAACTTGATTCAATTACCATTTGTCTTTAAAAATGTAGTAATTGATTATTAAACATGTCCTAATAAAATTACAAGGAGCTATTACTATGTTTAATTTAAAATAAACGTAGTAACTGATCTGCTTAAAAAATTACTTGACTTAATTACTGTGTTTATTTAAAAGAAATGCAATAATTGATTTTTTTTATAACATAAACCTTATTCGATTTTAACCATTCTGTTTATAACAGTTTAACCTTTAACTAGTAAACGCAACACCGAAACCGTAAACCCCTAATCCATCATTCGACTGCCCTTGCCGCTAGATCTCTGCTGTCACTACCTAGTCTAAATTGTCACCATCATCGTCAAGTCTAACTCTAGTAAGTTGTTTTTTTTTTTTTTCTTTTCTTCGTGATTGGATGTGTTTGTGATTTTAAGATGATTTTGGATTTTAAGCTGTGTGTGTTTAAGTTATGTGTGTATTTGTGATTTTCGAACCATAAAGTAATCAACATTCATCCTAAATGTGTGAGCTTATTGTGAAGTTGCTGTAAGTGATGGTCAAAGTGGAAGGAAGACTATTGCCATTGGACAATTCAATTACTTATAACTGGAAGTAGAATATCAGTTTGTCCTTTTAGTTTAGCTAGAAGTGTTATAGTTGAAAGGCAATAAGTGATAGTAGATGACTCACTAGCTTAAACATTCCCTTTCAATTTTTCCATTATGTTCATTATGTTTTATAAATGTGACTTTTCCTATATGGTAATGCAAATGCTATGTTTGTTGACAAATTCCACTATTCTGTACATTATTGTAGTTGAAAGAACTAGAAATATGGTTTAGTTTAAGAAATAGTTTGAAAATTTTGATTAAAAAATTGGTCTGAATAATGCTCTCTATTTTATTTTATCATCAATTTGAGTTAAGAATCCCAAATTGATTAACGAACAGTAAAAAAATGAGAAAAAAGAAGGTAAGAAGATTAAAGAATTAAAGAGTTAAGAAAAGTTATAGCAACATTACAACAGGCTCACACTTTAACCACAGCTAGTTATCTAACTCAAAACTAGTTGATATCAGATCTTGGAATGTGATTTTGGGCCATGCAACTTACAAAAAAGTTAACAATGTCGCTTTTATGCATAATAAATACACAACAATGTCATATATGCTAGCGTGTCATTTTAGAACCTGTCATTGTTCAAATATTTTGTTTGTGTATTTGCTATTTATTTCTATAGTTGGCATTTTTAGTATTTTATGCTAATCTCATTCCATAAATAAATTCATACAAATTTGTTGATATTATAGCTTCAGAAGAACATATGTCTCCCTCTAATGAATATGAAGAAGAACTTTCAATTAACACATTCTCTTTGAAAAGGAGAAAATCTAGAAGACGTGACAAAGTACTTGAAGCAATTGGGAAAAAAATTCATATTGATTCAATAAAGATGGGTAACCTACGTTAAGTGGAAGAACAAAGATGGCTAGCCACATTGGATGTGTCATTTGGTAGAAAATATTCATTAACTACCCAAATTGGAAAAAGGTTCTAGATGATAAGAAAGATAGTTTATGAGTTTGGTTATGGTAAGTTATAACAATCAAATCCAAACTAATTCATCTTGATTGTTCATTGTTATGGAATGCAATTATGATGTTAACATATTTTAATTTAATCTTTTTATAGGAGCTGTTTGACGTCTTATCTAAATATAAGAAGCTTGTGTTACAATCTCTGGGTTGAAATTCAAAAACTTTAAAAACATATTGACAATCAAATTTATTTTACCTTTTGCTAACAATACTGAATTGTTGGCTTATCCTTTAAAGACATATTCTGATGTTATCAGTGAGGCAGACTGGTCGCAGTTTATTCAAAGTCATCTATCAATTGAATTTGACATATGCATAGCAATCTTTTTTTATTTTTATAATATATTATTGAAGCTAAGATGTTTGTTAATATGTTATTGATTTTGTTTTTTCATAGAAAATCAAATAACAACAAAAAA